ATAGCTCCCATATAAGGGTACCCCCCAATGTTCAGTATTTTGAGGTTCTTGAGCGCGTTTTTCAACTGAATTCGCTGAAATTTGGTATATTGAGTTCTTATTATGTAGCGAATCTCTCCACTAAAAATTATAAATATGGGTTCATATTTTCGGATAGCCCCCATATATGGGTACCCCTAATTTTGCGGTATTTTGGGGGGTTTAATCGCATTTTTCAACCGAAAAAAATTATAACAGCCTGTTTTTGTAAAATTCCAAACGAAAAATTGTAAAAATTGAATCAGAAAACCTTTATAAACATAAATAAGCGTTCTTGAGCACGCTTTTCAACCGAATTCGCTGAAATTTGGTACATTGTGTTCTTATTGGGTACCAAATTTTCCAACTAAAAATTATAAATATAGGTCCACTTTTTCTGGTATCCCCCATATAAGGGTACCTCCCAATTTCCAGTTTTTGGAGGGTTTGACCGAATTTTTTCACCGAATTGGCTGTAATTTAGTAATTTGAGTTCTTATTGGGTAGCAAATCTCTCCACAAAAAATTATAAATATAGGTCAATTTTTTCGGGTAGTCCCCACATAAGGATACCCCCAATTTACGATATTTTGAGGTTCTTGAGGGCGTTTTTCAACCGAATTCGCTGAAATTTGGTATTTTGGAGTGGTATATGACAACAAATTAGTAATATTCACGCCTTTTTAGGGGTTGTCCCCATATAAACCCTGTTTTATATTAAAATAGCTATCTGATTTGTTCCGTGTGTTGTGGTTGGGTAGTCGTTACGGCGAATAGTCAATTTTTACCCCACAAGGACTATTTAGCCATCTGTTGTAAGTATTCCGCCTTCTAAAGATATTGTGATAAAAAAAAACTCAAATATGACCATAATGAAATATATCGGCAGACATTTAGGCATCTCCTCAATATAGTGATACCTCCTGAGGGAACGAATTGAGATAAAAAATTAAAATATTGTGTTCAAAATTGGTATATACCGGTCATTAATTAGGCATAGCCCTAATATAATGATATCCCCAAATATTCACTATTTCCTACACTACGTAATCAATATTGGTCCCCCTTTAGGCATAACCTTTGTAATCTAAATTACAGTAGTTTGAGAATTTTATACTCTACCATACGTTATCAGTATCAGCCCACTTACAGATTTTAGGAAAAATCCCCATTAAAAATTGCTGACGTTTGTATTTGGTGTACATAATGGTGTACATAAATCGGTTGGTAGAATTATCGGTATATGCCCACTTTTTGGTATGTTCCCTATATTTCCATTGCATGTATCTGTCAGTATAACTATGATGGTGGGTATCCAACGCTTTTTCACTTGTTTTTTTTATTTTGGACCCATTGTGAGACAGATGGAAACTCCTGAATAGACTTCAAATTATCAAAAATTGATTTTTTCCAAGGAATAATAAACTCATTCAACTAAATATTTGTTCGGTTTTTTGTTTAACGTCATCTACTCAACATAGAATACACTCAGCCAATTTCACTACAATTAAACTTGGAACATTATTTCATTCACCTCGGATCCGCTGTTACAGTTCATGCAAATTGAAATGAGCTAATTTCTCTGTCCATAACAAAGATGGCGAGTGCAACAAATTTTTTGGGTTTCGACCGACAAAAAATTTGAAATTTGATATCTGTTTAATTAAAGCATGTGTAATTTTCATGTTCTCTATGTTTTTGATGCCAACTTTCAGTTTACATTTATTTTTTATTTGCTTATAACGATGACAATCTTTTCGAAGTCAATTTTAATGTTAACGATTCTTCATGAATGATCTCCTACATCAAATGTTATGAAGTTCTTCTTTAATTTTCCACATAAATGAATATATTCTTCCTGCTAAAGCCCTTGTTTTATGACTGTATTTAATTTTTTTCTAATGTTAGACCTGCCACTTTGGGTTCATTTTATTTTAATTAAAAAAAAAAGAATTCACATTTGTAATCAGCGACCATAAGTCTCGTGTTTTAATTTAAATTAAGATTTAAAAAGAAGTTGATCGCCCATTTGGATCCGATATTTTGATTTTTATTATATTTGATATTAATTTTATAAATTCACAAATTGAGATTTGGCTCATAGTGCATTGGTTTTAGTTATGTAATGAAATATATATAAAGGTTCATTCCCCTTACCGCAGACTCCCTCATTTTCCATTATCGAATTTTGTATATCTATTTCAAATTATCAATTTATCTCATACAACGCAATAGCTGAAATCGCGATTTTAGCGGCAAAAATTGTTGATGGTGTTCAATGCCCAACGTTTTGAAATGAAAAAAATTTAAAAAAAATTTACTGTTGGCTACCCTTATGAGTCGATCTAGACATGTGTGTCCGTCCGTCCGTCTGTCCATTATAATTTGTAAACACGAGACAGGCCATAGTTATGGACCAATCTTCATGAAATTTTGCATGTAGGGCCGGTTCTGGCCAATGAAGACCCCTATTGCTTTTGGGGTAACCTATCGATTAATATTGAGGGGATGAAATTGACCAAATACTTAATTTTTGTCGGTTTTTCTGGTCGCTCTAGAGGCCGCAATTATGGTCTAAACATAGCGAAATTTGACATGGAGAAGGGGATCGGGCCAAAGAATAGGCATGCCTGTTTTCATAAAGATCGTTCAATATTTAGCGGGTAAAATGGACTTTTGTGTGAAAAATGACAAAATTTGTATTCTATAGCGTATATATTTACTCCTGAAGGACATAGACCCAAGAAGTTGATAGTATATCCAAGAGGATATTGTTGACCTTTAAATTGATACCAATTATATTGTCATATGTACACTAGTGTGTGGAAATATAGCGCTGATTGCTTTGAAGTGTTCCACGAGGTTCCAGTTATGGCCAAGGTCAACGCCTATAATTTTCATTGATGGTTAGATAATAATATTGGGATGGAGTGGATCGAAAACTTCAATTTTTTGTATATTTTCGAGTCGATATATAGGCCACAATTATAAGCCGAATGTCAGAACAGAACCCACCGTCAAGGGAGTATGGACAAGTCATTAGAAGGACTATATTTGAATATTAGTAAAATTCAGAAAATAGGTCAGTGTAAGGAAGAGGTGCTGTTGACCTCTAATCGGGCAAGAGGGTGCAACTATCACGAAATATTAATCCACAGGAATAAAAATCCACAGAAAATTAGAGTTCCGTGGTAGTTGGGTAGGGTATCGTATGGTCGGCCCCCGCCGACTATACTGCTACGCTGACTGCTTTTAATATATAAAACAAGTATGTAAAGTTGAAAACTTTGACAGGGCCGACAATATTATACCCTTCAACACTTTGGGTATATTCTTAAGATATTCTCAAAATTCCAAATGTAAGGTACAGTCAGATATATGTATCGATAGAATAAACATTGCATTGTTGAGGGACCACTGACTTGAAATCGGACAAATTTCAATTAGTGCTCTATAAAGATATATGAAAATATTTTTATTAATCTATACCCATTTCACTCTGAAATCTATGCAAAATTGCATGCCAATTTAGTATGAAGACATGAATGATAGTCTTTGGTGTACCATTTGTATGAAATTGAACAAAACAATGTATGCACAGCACCTAGTCCGAACTAAAATATTAAATCGAAAGAAAATATATTTGGGGGAATATTTATATATGTGAAATATATAGGAGCTGTATCTTAATCAGATTCAGATTTTCACGAAAACTAGCACTAGCACTTTACACTAAGTATAATACGGTGTAAATTGAAAATATTATAGGGGCACCACTTACATAAAATCGGACGAAAATATATGTAGGAGCTATATCTATATATGAACCGGTTTAACGAAACTTAGCACACAATTCAATTTCTGTAACAATCGAACAAACTTTATGAGTTTGGTGCGCCATTTACATATAATAGGACGAAAATTTTTGAGCATGACGTAAATTTTTGAGCATGACAAAACCGATAAACCATTGGCGGGAGGTACCACAAAAACCGTCTGACATTTTCAATCTTCGAACTTGATTAGGGTTTGCAGTAAATACTACGATATGCAATGTTTGAATTGAAACGGTAACAAATTTTGAGAGCTTACATGCCTTTCAGGCAGTTTTCGTCACAACAAATCAGGTACTAGTCAAATAGGTACTAATCAATAGTAAAAATAGACATAAAATCAAAATTGTTAAACTAGTGTTAAACCAAGCATAACAAATGTCATCTCTACTTATTTTGGTTTCACAGTGGAATGCGCTTAAAACGGACCCCGGTTATAACGAACTTTTTCATAACGAAAGCATTTCCTGGTAACGAAGTTTTAAGACATTTTTTTAAACAAATATTTGCTCTTATAGCGAACTATTGATATAGTCAGTTTCATAAAAGGGAAAAGAATCAGCGTAAGTATTGTAAAGGGAGAAATATATACGCCGCTCTTCTTTATTATTTTACCATGACTTAAAATGCCAAGCCTGAAGTCTTCTTATGTGTTTCCGCCTTAAAAATATAACTGAATATATAATTTCTGCTAAGCCAATGTTTTGTTTTTCCTTGGATAGATCGAACTAATTTTCTTGGCCCTTACTAGTTCGACATAACCATGCTTCACTATGAGTGTACAATATTATGTCGATAAAAACAGACGTTGCATCCTTGGAGGACCATTGATCTATATTTATATAGGGAACATGAGCATGTCATTCTACTTAAAAGCTTAGTACATGTCATTCTAGGCTCACATTGGTATGCTTGCAAAATTTCAAACAATCCTCGGCTATTTGATCCATCATATCATATTTTCTTTCGGAAAGAAATTACATACTATTATAATATTTGATTTTTATAAGCTATACAATATTAAATCAAATATTTTTTATTTCTATTTTCCAGATACAGACGCTACAATACGGTCGTACAAAACAAAGAAAAAATGCGTTTTCATCCGACGAAGAAACGCAGTTGAAATAAACCACAACAAATAATTCGAACGATAAAATCGTAAATCGTTAACGATATTTATGTTACAATATCATAATAACGTTTATCTGATTAAAACCAACTCAAAGACTTATCCGAACATTTCGGAAAGCCAAATTCGTTGTGGGCGTTACAAAGTGCTGCACTGTAGACAATTTACAACCAAACATAATGATGATGGGGCCATGAGCCCATCATTACCGACATTGAGTTGGAGTCGCAAGCGCGTCTCAAGCGGGCCTGCACCATGCTAGCACCGCCGAACCCGAGGTCAATATGCGGCCAGGACCCGGGCTGGTCGTGATGGCGCTTGCGTTTATTTCGGGGGCTCGGCGTGGCAGCACCAGCAGCATCAGTTCAAAGACTACACTAACAACGTCGTCACTACCACCAACACTACCACTACCAACGTCAGCAGCAGCAGACACCAGAACACCACCACCATCACTACCTTCCACAACAGCAACATTTCCAGCGGCTACACTTCTACCACCAGCATCAGCGGCAACGTCGTCGTCCTCATTCATTATCGCAGCAGCAACACCACCACCACCGCCTACAACAACAACAGCAGCAGCAGGAACATCCAACACCAACATCTATCCAACCTCATCGCCATTTAGTGTTTATGAACACAACGGATTGCCACATTCTCCATTACACGAAGAAGAGGCCATAAGGCACGATCACAACAACAACAACCACCACCACCTCCTACACAAAGACGTAGGGCCATTCAATTTTTTTAGTGCATTTTATAGCAACGATTTTCTACAGCGACCGGCATCCCATCTGTACTCCGCTAACTCGGCCTACAATCCCAGCAACACCTTTGCCTATACGTTTCCGCTGCCCTCACACTTGTCGCACCATTACGACGATCCGCTGCAACGTTTGTCCGTTCGTTCGTCAACAGTTCTGCCAACGGTAAGGCAGTCGCGTTCGCGTGTGCTATCGTCCAAATTTCGACGGAGAAGAAAGAGAAGAACCCGCAGTGCAAACGTTGACTACAAGGGCAGTCGGCAGTCGGAGGCAGGGGATAACTTAAACGAATCATCTGACGATAATACCTCGCAATCGATAGCAGTGGAGAGCAGCAAGAGTCGTAGTCGCAGTCACGGCCGAGACAGTGTTGTAAGCGACCAAGCCACAGTACGTGGTCTACCCGTTCACTTTCCCTCACTCACCGCCGATTCGTCAAGATCGTTTGACGAAGACGATATATTTGCCTTAGTAGCCGAGGACGATCTTCTGTCGGAAGAGTCCTTTGATCGTTTGATAAAACTAACGGACGACAAAATTGGTGATACTAACGAAGAAGATTACAGCAGTGGAACGGAGACTGTAGTGTCATCGTCTTCATCGTCGTCCTCATCCTCATCTTCATTGTCGTCATCATCCGCATCGTCGTCCTCGTCATCCTTTTCATCATCTGCTTCAGCATCGTCCTCACAGTCATCATCAGCAGCAGCAGCCGCAGGATCATCGACAAGTGGTAGTGGAAGTGTCGCCTCAGAATTACAGGACACCAATCAACAAAATGCCCTTGAGGATTTTGAACGATTGCAACACAATGAAGTTCCCGTTTCACGTTCGAGTGAAAACGATCCAAAGTCCCAAGGATCGATATCAATACAAGATCAAGAACAACACCAGCAACAACTACAACAACAACAACAGTCAGAGCAAGAGCCAGATTCAATATCAGAAGCATCAGAGCAGGAACATGATAGCGAACTGCCGCAAACACCAAATCATGCTCGCGAATCGAATGAACCAACTGACGATCAAATCGAAACGCTGTACAATGCTCACTTAGTGAGCAATAACAACGATAAAATAGTATCTGTCACCGACGACGACGGCGATAGTGACAGCGACAACGTCGTACAACACATAACACCTGCCCAGCAGGAATCTAGTAAAGCGAAAACAGACCTAGAGGACACCACGGAACATCGATCGATATTGGAAAGTGATTTTCCGTTAACACGCCTTAATCCCTGGATATCAGCTTGTGATCTGGCACAACCTGGTCCATTGCCGGCACCAGACTTACAGGTGAGTTATTTGATGGGAATGGTGATTATTTAGTGATTTTGAAATTTTCAATTCGTGGATGTTACAATCAACCATTTATGATTGTAGCAAGTTTCTCGAATTTTTTTCGCTTCAATTTCTACAGAATCAAGTCTGTTGTTAATATCAGATATCAAAATGGGTTGTCAGGATAAGAGATTAAATAAAAACAGTGGAAAATGGATGGATTTCCAAAAAGATAATTATTACTACAAATGCACCGTTATTCCCGCAATCATATTTATTTTATTTTAGGAGTTCATTATTATTATTTTGGCATTTTCATTTCAAACATCTTCTGACATTTTCTTTAATTTCCAAGAAAATAAACAACAATACCATGTGAAAGACAACAAATATTATTCTTTAATGAATGCTAGACACAAATCTGAAAAGGTCATATTTGTATTCAACTAAACTTTGACATTTCAAGTAACGGTAGCAGTGAGAAGAACATCAGCAGGAACAACAACACATACCTCGTGTTAATTCCGCAATTAATTTCTTCAAAGACCAACTCATTATGTCGGACATATAGACTGCATTAGCATCCCGCCATAAATAAATTATTAAGTAAATTGAGTAATTAAATCAAATGTCTTCATTATTAATACAAATGACTGAAGGCAAAAAAAAAAGGAAATGAAATGAAATCAGGTTTTGTTGTGAGATATTGAATAGAAAATTGAGACATGGGAATACCCTGCCTTGCGGAACAGGTTGTAATAGGAGGCATGATATGTTCATAACGGTTTGTAATATTTAGGGGCCAAGAATGAATTTATGAGAAACGGTTGTCGATGGTAAATTTGAATAAAATTTTTATGTGACTGAAAAATGTAAAGTTATTTCACGATTAAATTAAAAACCGATATCACTTTTAGTTAGGTATATCCCCCCAATAAAAGTATTCCCAATTTTAGATATCCTGGGGTTTTTGAACGCAGTTTTCAAATGAATTCACTGTAATTTAGTACTGTGGGTTCTTATTGGGTACTAAATCAATATGAACCCATATGTTCGTTTATCCCCCATCTTAGAACAAATTTCTGTCCACAGATTTAATGCAACTGAATAGGATATGTACAAAATTTGACGTCGCTACATTCTTGCATTCGGGAGATGCAGTACATTCTTTCGGAAAAATTAAAGTCCAAAACCAAATGCAAAATCGACAGAAATGAATAATTTTAAATTATTCTCTATATTAATTATAATAATAATTCTCTATATTAATTTTTACAAGAATCAAAAATAATTCTGATGAGAGAATTCGTTCAATTTGAATACGAAGCGATTTAAATAATTTGGACTGTATGCACAAATTAGTACTGTACACAAATTTACTACATTGAAAAGTTCATAACATTACCAAAATTTATTTTTTTTTCTGATTTTGCTTTTGATATATGTCGTCCATAATCAGGTCTTGACACGCAATTTAAATAATTTGGACTGTATACACAAATTAGTACTGTACACAAATTTACCCTTTTCTTAATATTGAAAAGCTCATAACTTTACCAAAATTTATTATTATTATTATTTTTTTTTTTTTTTTATTTTGCTTTTCATATATGTCGTCCATAATCAGGTCTTGACACATGAAATCCAAATAATATATATCTAATAGCTGCATATTAAATATAAGCTCTAAAACATTTTGTTGCCTGTGGGCAACATTGGGCCACAAAGGGTTAAGGATACAACCCCTATTTTTTTGGAGTTTTGAGCTCACATTTCCGCCGAATTCGCTTTTGGTATATAGCTTCTTCTTAGTCAACATTTCGTGTATATGAAGGTACTCCCAAATTTCGGTATTTTGGTGAGTTTAACCCTATGTGGGCCTATGTTTTAGAGCTTCTAACTAATATGCTGCAAGTATATATATATATATATATTATTTGTATTTCATATGTCAAGACCTGATTATGAACAACATATATCAAAAAGGAAAACAAATCGAAATTTTGGTAAAGTCATGAGCTTTTTAATATGTGGAAGAGGGTAAATTTGTATACAGTACTATTTTATGTATGCAGTCCAAATTATTTAAATCGCCTCGTATTTTGGGTTCTAATTGGGTATCAAATTATCCCCCAAAATGTAGCTGTATTCGTCCAACATTTTCGGTACTTTTTGGTTTTTGATTCACAATATCTACAAAATAAAAACCAGTGATCGGAGCAGTATAGTCGGACGGGGCCGACCATACGATACCCTACACAATTTCCATGAAAATCTAACATTCTGTGGTTCTATATTCTGAGATTGGGCAATATTTCGCGATATTTGCACACTTTTGACTGGCTAGAGGTCAGCAAAGGTTACTAATAATCAGTACAGCCCCTCTAATTACTTGTCCAGATTCCTTTCACCGCGGATTTGTTTTGTGATGTTCGGCTTTCGACTCGAAAAGTACAAATAATTAAGTTTTCGGTCCACTTCATCCGAAAGATTATTAACTGATCATCACCTAAAATTTTAGGCGTTGTCCTTGACCATAATTGGAACCTCATGGAACATTTTAAAGCGATCAGCGCGATATTTCCGCCCTCCAGTGTGGTAATAGATTACTAAATAATATATGAATAACTAAGCACCAGTATGTATTTAAGTGCAACTCCCGCATCCGAGTACCTACGACAATATAATTGGTATCAATTTAAAGGTCGACCACTCCTCTTGGATATACTGCCAACTTCTCTGGTCTATGTCCTTCAGTGGTAAATGTAATGTATCTAATTGTATCTAATGTATCTAATTCTAATTTATATTTGTTGTATTATTACTAATTGCCGGCTGATGATCTATCTGTAGCCGGTGTTATTAAACTACTACTAACCCGCCTTAGTCCGGTCTTTGGTGTGTACGTGCTCCCTGCGAATAGGGAGGTAGCCCCCTCGGTCGGCAGGGACGGGTGTGAGAGGCGTGGGAACGAACGTAAAAAAAATATATACGCTATAGAATAAAAATGTTGTAATTTTTCACACAAAAGTTAGGGTCCATTTGACCCGCTAAATATTGACCGATCTTTATCACGCTTATTCTTTGGCCCGATCCGCTTCTCCATGCAAAAATTCGCGGTGTTTGGGCCATAATTGCGGCCTTTGGAGCGACCATAAAAACCGACAAAAATAAAGCTTTTTGTCCATTTCAAACAAAGCTATAATACCCTGACAACAAAGTTGTGTTGGGTATAAAAACCAGCAAGGAAAGTTCAAAAGTGGGACGAGGCCGACTATATGATACTCTTCACCACTTTGGATGCGTACAAGAGATGCTCATATGTATTGAATATGCTCATAATTCTTGAATATAGAATAAGCATACCATCTTTGGAGGAACATTGAAATGGTCCTCCAAAGACATAGAAATTTGAACAAAATAAAAAAAAACCATACACATACCATTTTGAAATTTATGAAAAATTGAATATCAATCATTTGTATGAAATCGAGCAAAATATGTATAGGAGCTATATATATACATGGACGTATTTGAGCAACTGTGTCATCCACCATTCGGTATGCTGCAACACAGTACGCACCCCAATCTCGGGGTCAAAAATTGTTATTGATTTAATTCCAATCTACACTAATTCAATAATGTCCCTACAAAATTTCATGTGAAAATCTCAAGAACTCTTGAAGATATAGCCGATTTATTGTGTCAGCATCAAATGACGGCTAAAGAGCTTCTCAAACTGCCCGAATGGCGGGCACGATAACTTAAAAACTAATAACCCAATCGATACCAAATTTGTACACGTTTTTCTGTAAGTGTATAGCTATCGTATGAAATAGGATAAAGCCAATCGGTGAAGATCTTCCTTATTTTTTAACTTGGTCTTCAAAGGTCCGCCATTTTGTTATTTTAGAGCGAAATCAATAATCCTAGTTCATACGAGATCCAGACACCGTTCTAACACCGTTGGAATTTTCGGCTTCCGATGTTCCAGTGAGGAGTTATCATGCCCGCCATCAAAAATAAGGACTTTTCTTTAATTACAAAAAAAAACAACAACAACAAAACAATAACAACATTTTTTGTAAATTATTTTTCTTCTTCTTTAAATCTGCAAATATATATGTGCAAAGTTTCAAACCTTAACAAGCATTGGTATTGATTTACCAGCCCATTGAAAATCTTGGAAAAATAAAATCGGAAGGGTAGAGGGGGGTGGAGGGGGGGGGGGTTTGGGTTCCCTAAAGTATATTTTGGTATGTCAAACGACGATCTTTCATTATACGTTCAGGAGCTCGACTACGATTGAATTTATTAAAACAGTTTTTCACAGTTTTTTTACTATACAAAAAAGGCTTAAAAATATTGATCTATCCCCCGCGAATATATTTCATTACCGTGTTAGACATAATAACATGTATTTATGGATTTAGACGAATCCAACCCTTCTTAATAATGTATGATTTATTCGAAATCTATTTATGTTCAAGGTTTTCTAAGCAATGACTGGTCGAAGGGAAAAGGACAATGAAAGTATACGAACATCGATTTCTTGTCTTTGTGGACCCTTTCTAAAATCTCATCTCAATTTAGACGTTAGAAAATCCCCTATTGTGGTCTTTAGTGTATTGTTGAAGAAAATAAGGTCGAAAAAGACGCACAAGGAATCGAAATAGTAAATGTTTTAAAAAATATTCCTTTATGCACTTTATATATCGGCATAACACATATCACCCTATAGCTTTAAAACTTGACCTATGGCGAATGTGTCCTTCTGGGTTATTTACAACTGCAAAAAATAAAATAGCACGACCCTTACAAACAATACTTAGAAATGGGTATCAACTTTTTTATGTTCTGGATTCAGTGGCCGTATGACATATTCTTGAGAACCCTTTTCCCCATACAGCACAATCTTACTTTCATCTGTCCATAAACGTTCGTCCATTTTAAAGGTCATTTTTAACAAAATGAATAGGTTACTTCCCGGTGCTATTTTACTTATCTCAACGGTA